ACGAGCGGCACGTCATCGAGCCCACGTTGACATCGTTCGAAGAGTTCCAAGAACGCGACAGCGGGTGGGCGCTATCGCGAATCCTCAACGTGACTATCAACGTGAATAAACTAAATCCCATGCGCGCGGGATGTCATGTCGAAGTGCCGCGGGAAATAGTGACAAAACGAGCGGTGATCAGTGTGCGTACGACGGACAATGCGTGCTTCGCGTGGTCAGTGATCGCCGCTCTGTACCCGGCTGAAAAGTATACGGAGCGAGAGTCATCGTATCCACATTACACTGCAGTGTTAAATTTCACAAACATCGAATTTCCAATGATATTGAAAGACATTAACAAATTCGAACGTTTAAACGCGATGTCGATCAACGTGTATGGCATCGAGAATAAACAGGTCTTTCCTCTACGGCTTACCAGCGACAAGAAGGAGAAACACATCAACTTGCTGTATCTGCAAGATCCACGCAACGACGGTGTAGGCCACTTTGCGTGGATTAAGAACCTGTCGCGCTTCATGAGCTCGCAACTCAGCAAACATAAGAATAAAAAATTTTTCTGCAATCGGTAAGTATACATAAAAAAAAATTATAATTGTCCTTTATATTAATAAATATGATAATAATAATTTATATGCGTTTTTTCCAGATGCTTGCACTACTTTAGTACGAGCGAAAAATTGGAGCTACGTGCAATGGACTGCAGAAAAATTAATGATTGTGCCATCAGACTGCCGAGCGAGGACGATAAATGGCTCGAATTCGACAACCACTGCAATAAGGAGCGCATTCCATTCGTCGTGTATGCCGACTTGGAGTGCGTTCTACAGAAGACGGAGCCCGAAAAGAAAGATGCGTCGTACACATATCAGCGGCACAAGGTGTGCAGTGTGGGCTACTACGTGCGTTGCTCGTACGACAACTCGTTATCGTCGTATCAGTTCCGTCGCGATAAAGATAGTATAGCGTGGTTCGCGCGTCAACTCCAAGACTTGGCGCATCGCGTAAAAGATATTATATCCGCCAACGTGCCCATAGAAGTGCTGTCTAAACAGCAACGGGAGACATACCGTAGCGCAACACGTTGTCACATCTGTGAGAAACCGTTCGCGCCAGACGATAAGCGAGTCCGCGATCATTGTCACTTAACCGGAAAATTCCGCGGTCCAGCACATTCAAATTGTAATCTTAATTATAAAAATTCGTTTAATATTGCAGTTGTATTTCACAACTTGTCGGGCTGCGACGCACACTTTATAATTAAAGAAATCGCTACAGCATATAAGGGACAAGTAGATGCTCTACCGATAACAAAGGAAAAATACATTTTATTCACTAAACATGTCGATAGCACCAAAGATAAAAATACAAATCATTTTCGGAAAAATTGCGTAAAATTAAGGTTTATTGATTCATTTAAATTTCTAAGTGCAAGTCTCGATAAATTGGCGTCGTACCTCGACAAAGATAAATTAAAAATTGTACGTTCCGAATTTTCAACTTAGTCAGACGAAAAGCTTGAATTACTGACTCTTAAAGGTGTCTTTCCGTACGAGTACGTTGACTGCGTTGAAAAATTGCAGGACACGCGCTTACCACCGCGCGAATCATTTTACAGTTCATTGACGGGCGATACAGTATCCGAGAGCGATTACGCTCACGCCGTGAACGTATGGCAGCGATTCTCCATTCGAACGCTCGGCGAATACAGTGATCTGTACTTGAAAACCGATGTCTTATTATTAGCTGACATTTTCGAAAATTTCCGCGAAAGTTGCGTCGCGAGTTACGGTCTTGATCCCGCGCATTATTATACACTACCAGGTTTCACGTGGGATGCCATGCTGAAACATACGCGCGTAAGATTTGAATTGCTCACCGACATTGATATGGTCATGTTCATCGAGCGCGGTATACGCGGTGGTCTCAGTCAATGTTCCGGCAGATATGCGCAGGCTAATAACAACTACATGCGTTCGTACGACCCGTCGGAACCGTCGACGTACTACGACGTTAACAACTTGTACGGTTGGGCGATGTGTCAACCATTGCCATACGCCGAATTTCAATGGGTCAAAGACGTTGCGAACTTTAACGTGAGCGTGATCGCTCTGGATTCGCCCATCGGTTATATTCTCGAGGTCGATCTCGAGTATCCACAACATCTCCATGACGTTCACGCGGACCTGCCTTTCTGCCCGACGCGCGATAAGCCGCCTGGCAAGCGCGAGGATAAACTTCTAGCGACGCTGTACAATAAACAGCGTTACGTCATTCACTACCGCAACCTATAGCAATGTACTCGTCACGGTCTTCGCGTAACAAAGATCCATCGAGTGCTACAATTCGCGCAATCTCCATGGCTTCGCGAGTACATCCAACTCAATACCAATTTCAGAACTCGTGCGAAAAACGATTTTGAAAAAAATTTGTATAAATTAATGAACAACGCGGTTTTCGGAAAAACCATGGAGAATGTGCGCAATCACGTCGACGTAAAATTATTAACAAAATGGGACGGACGATACGGCGCGGAGGCAATGATTGCGAAACCGAATTTCCACAGTCGTAGTATCTTTGCGGAAAATTTAATCGCCGTCGAACTACGCAAACTCGAAATGAAATTCAACAAGCCGATTTACGTGGGTATGTGTATACTCGACATATCGAAAGTCTGCTTGTACGAATTTCACTACGAGTATATGTCACCGCTGTATCACGATAAATGTAACATTATGTACACCGACACAGACAGTCTTATATACCGTGTCGAGTGCGAGAACATTTACGAGATTATTAAACGCGATATCGCTAGATTCGACACGAGCGATTATCCGGCGGACAATGCATACGGTATGTCTTTCGCGAATAAAAAAGTACCAGGTCTTATGAAGGCCGAGAACAACGCGGTGAGGGTAGATGGCAAGAAGGATACTAAAAAGGTGAAAGGCGTAAAGAATAACGTCGTAGCGCGAACGATAACGTTCGACGATTACACGCGGTGCTTGAACGAAGAGATCGAAATGACTCGTCGTCAATCGTGTATACGATCTAAACTACATGAGGTATACGATATCCGAATCGAAAATCGCTCTGAGTCCATACGACGACAAACGATACGTCGTACCGAACACGACGGAGACGTTACCGTGGGACACTGGCGGATACCTTTGTAATACGAAGTGTGATCAAAAAGTAAGGTGACTTTTTGAATTTCGCGCGCTCTGTACACTCTAATTTCAAAATTT